TGCACGCTGATTGGCTGATTCTTACCAATCAGCACTAGTCGATAGTCGGAGAATACTCTGGAATCTTCTTATGTAAAAAATAAATATACCGATGTTTTCCCCTATTGGTTCCTACTGGCTTCTGACTTGCTATTTGGAAATAATCTTTTTCCTGTTCAACCGTGTTCTGATTTGGGGACTTGTCGAGTGAATCGGTGTCCGAGAATACTAAGCAATAGGAATAGCTGGGTCATAACCGTAAGAAGAAACAGAGTTATAACAGTGGGACGGCGATGGGATGGAAAACAAATTCAAGATGCCCATATCATGATGCCAGCTTAACCGAATACTACAACAACAGCAAGCACAACTTGATGCACAAATGCGGTTGTTGGAGACTCTGACTCAACAGCTTAACATCCACTGCTCGAATTCACATGCTATTTCAAGTACGTCTTGCGATGCAGTTGCTAGCAGCATCCCAGAATTCATCTATGATCCCGAAAGTGGAAATACTTTTCTCACGTGGTTCAAACGTTGGGAAGATACATTTAGAACAGAATTCTGTAACCAAGACGATGCGTGGAAGACCCGATTGTTGGTACGTAAGTTGGGAAGCAGTGAACATGCACGTTTTGCTGACCATATATTGCCAAAGTTACCTCGAGAGCTCAGTTTCGAGGAGACGGTATTTCAGTTGTCAGAGATATTCGGCGAGTCATCCTCGTTGTTTAGTATTCGATATCGGTGTCTAAATTTGGTGAAACGCGAAGCTGATGAATATGGTGTTCTAGCAGACATTGTCAACAGAGCATGTGAACGTTTCAAGTTACGCTCGTTGACGGATGACAAATTTAAATGCTTAATATTCATCAAAGCTCTTCAGTCACCACAAGATGCTGAGATCAGGACGAGACTTTTAGCTCGACTGGATCAAGACCCAAACGTCACACTCAGAACATTGACAGATGAGTGTAAGCGTCTACAAAGCATCAGACACGACAACGAATTGATTGAACAGGTAAATCCTAATTCAACCTGCGGTAGTGTAAATACTATTACTAGGTTAAAAGTTCAGAAGCCGGTAACAACTCGTAACAAACCAAGGACTGCATGCTGGTTATGCGGTGATTGGCATTATGCACGATTCTGTCCATTCAAGAAGCACAAATGTCAGGAGTGCAACAAACGTGGACATAAAGAAGGTCATTGTCCACCGAAGCGTACGTCTCAGCCTAAGAAGAAGCATAAACGTCCTCGACATGTGAAATCAGCCGAGTCTAAATCTCTTTCTCTGGTAGCTGCTTTTCAAACAAACTATGACATTCAGAGAAAGTATGTTACCATCCAGATAAACGGCATATCAGCTCGTCTTCAAATTGACACGGCATCAGATATCACGTTAGTGTCTAGAGAAACGTATAACTTGCTGGGTAAACCGCCAATGAAGCCATCTAAGAAAACGGCTAAAAACGCATCAGGTGGTGTGCTAAAACTGGTTGGTGAATTACAGTGTGAATTTTCCTTCAATGGAGCTAACTGTACAGGAATATGTTACCTAACAGAACGGCCAAACCTTGATCTTCTTGGTCTAGATATGTTAGACAAACTTAGAATAATGGATGTACCAATTAACAGTGTCTGTAACGTATCTCGTTCATCATTGGACACCCCAGTTCTTCCAAAGACAGGTGATAGGTTACTAGGAAAACCGAAAAGAAAGATACGTACACATTTCGATGTCATCCGTCCTACGCCAGCTATTGAACCCCAACGAAACCTATCGATGGAGAATCAGTTTAACCGACATCATGGGGCACAAAGACGATTGTTCACGGTGGGACAAAAAGTGCTTGCTATGGACTATCGTGGGAAACACCCTACATGGACAGCTGGTCGGATCTTGAAAAAGAAGGGGAGTGTGGTTTACGAGGTGTCAGTTGGCTCGGAAGTTTGGGTGCGTCATGCTAACCAATTGAAAGCAACCTCGATAGCCAGCAACAAGATTCAATATCGATTACCTCTTGATGTTCTGCTAGACACCTTTGAAATCAAAACGCCGGGAATAGACACATCAGTTTCTGTGCAAGAAAAGAGTGATACTTCTTTATTGCCTAGACGATGGACTAATCGAAAGCACAGGCCAGTCACTCGGTTGCAGTTGGACCCTAGCACCAGATCCTACGAATCTGCTCAGAGGGGAGGTGTTAGCGGGACACAGACTAGATTAAAGCATGCTCAATGCATGATTGTTTTGGTGCACGCTGATTGGCTGATTCTTATCCAATCAGCACTAGTCGATAGTCGGAGAATATTCTGGAATCTTCTTATGTAAAAACTATAAATATACCGATGTTTTCCCCTATTGTGCTTCCTACTGGCTTCTGACTTGCTATTTGGAATATAATCTTTTTCCTGTTCAACCGTGTTCTGATTTGGGGACTTGTCGAGTGAATCGGTGTCCGAGAATACTAAGCAATAGGAATAGCTGGGTCATTAACCGTAAGAAGAAACAGAGTTATAACAGTGGTGACGGCGATGGGATGGAAAACAAATTCAAGATGCTCATATCAGATGACCAGCTTAACCGAATACTACAACAACAGCAAGCACAACTTGATGCACAAATGCGGTTGTTGGAGACTCTGACTCAACAGCTTAACATCCACTGCTCGAATTCACATGCTATTTCAAGTACGTCTTGCGATGCAGTTGCTAGCAGCATCCCAGAATTCATCTATGATCCCGAAAGTGGAAATACTTTTCTCACGTGGTTCAAACGTTGGGAAGATACATTTAGAACAGAATTCTGTAACCAAGACGATGCGTGGAAGACCCGATTGTTGGTACGTAAGTTGGGAAGCAGTGAACATGCACGTTTTGCTGACCATATATTGCCAAAGTTACCTCGAGAGCTCAGTTTCGAGGAGACGGTATTTCAGTTGTCAGAGATATTCGGCGAGTCATCCTCGTTGTTTAGTATTCGATATCGGTGTCTAAATTTGGTGAAACGCGAAGCTGATGAATATGGTGTTCTAGCAGACATTGTCAACAGAGCATGTGAACGTTTCAAGTTACGCTCGTTGACGGATGACAAATTTAAATGCTTAATATTCATCAAAGCTCTTCAGTCACCACAAGATGCTGAGATCAGGACGAGACTTTTAGCTCGACTGGATCAAGACCCAAACGTCACACTCAGAACATTGACAGATGAGTGTAAGCGTCTACAAAGCATCAGACACGACAACGAATTGATTGAACAGGTAAATCCTAATTCAACCTGCGGTAGTGTAAATACTATTACTAGGTTAAAAGTTCAGAAGCCGGTAACAACTCGTAACAAACCAAGGACTGCATGCTGGTTATGCGGTGATTGGCATTATGCACGATTCTGTCCATTCAAGAAGCACAAATGTCAGGAGTGCAACAAACGTGGACATAAAGAAGGTCATTGTCCACCGAAGCGTACGTCTCAGCCTAAGAAGAAGCATAAACGTCCTCGACATGTGAAATCAGCCGAGTCTAAATCTCTTTCTCTGGTAGCTGCTTTTCAAACAAACTATGACATTCAGAGAAAGTATGTTACCATCCAGATAAACGGCATATCAGCTCGTCTTCAAATTGACACGGCATCAGATATCACGTTAGTGTCTAGAGAAACGTATAACTTGCTGGGTAAACCGCCAATGAAGCCATCTAAGAAAACGGCTAAAAACGCATCAGGTGGTGTGCTAAAACTGGTTGGTGAATTACAGTGTGAATTTTCCTTCAATGGAGCTAACTGTACAGGAATATGTTACCTAACAGAACGGCCAAACCTTGATCTTCTTGGTCTAGATATGTTAGACAAACTTAGAATAATGGATGTACCAATTAACAGTGTCTGTAACGTATCTCGTTCATCATTGGACACCCCAGTTCTTCCAAAGACAGGTGATAGGTTACTAGGAAAACCGAAAAGAAAGATACGTACACATTTCGATGTCATCCGTCCTACGCCAGCTATTGAACCCCAACGAAACCTATCGATGGAGAATCAGTTTAACCGACATCATGGGGCACAAAGACGATTGTTCACGGTGGGACAAAAAGTGCTTGCTATGGACTATCGTGGGAAACACCCTACATGGACAGCTGGTCGGATCTTGAAAAAGAAGGGGAGTGTGGTTTACGAGGTGTCAGTTGGCTCGGAAGTTTGGGTGCGTCATGCTAACCAATTGAAAGCAACCTCGATAGCCAGCAACAAGATTCAATATCGATTACCTCTTGATGTTCTGCTAGACACCTTTGAAATCAAAACGCCGGGAATAGACACATCAGTTTCTGTGCAAGAAAAGAGTGATACTTCTTTATTGCCTAGACGATGGACTAATCGAAAGCACAGGCCAGTCACTCGGTTGCAGTTGGACCCTAGCACCAGATCCTACGAATCTGCTCAGAGGGGAGGTGTTAGCGGGACACAGACTAGATTAAAGCATGCTCAATGCATGATTGTTTTGGTGCACGCTGATTGGCTGATTCTTATCCAATCAGCACTAGTCGATAGTCGGAGAATATTCTGGAATCTTCTTATGTAAAAACTATAAATATACCGATGTTTTCCCCTATTGTGCTTCCTACTGGCTTCTGACTTGCTATTTGGAATATAATCTTTTTCCTGTTCAACCGTGTTCTGATTTGGGGACTTGTCGAGTGAATCGGTGTCCGAGAATACTAAGCAATAGGAATAGCTGGGTCATTAACCGTAAGAAGAAACAGAGTTATAACAGTGGTGACGGCGATGGGATGGAAAACAAATTCAAGATGCTCATATCAGATGACCAGCTTAACCGAATACTACAACAACAGCAAGCACAACTTGATGCACAAATGCGGTTGTTGGAGACTCTGACTCAACAGCTTAACATCCACTGCTCGAATTCACATGCTATTTCAAGTACGTCTTGCGATGCAGTTGCTAGCAGCATCCCAGAATTCATCTATGATCCCGAAAGTGGAAATACTTTTCTCACGTGGTTCAAACGTTGGGAAGATACATTTAGAACAGAATTCTGTAACCAAGACGATGCGTGGAAGACCCGATTGTTGGTACGTAAGTTGGGAAGCAGTGAACATGCACGTTTTGCTGACCATATATTGCCAAAGTTACCTCGAGAGCTCAGTTTCGAGGAGACGGTATTTCAGTTGTCAGAGATATTCGGCGAGTCATCCTCGTTGTTTAGTATTCGATATCGGTGTCTAAATTTGGTGAAACGCGAAGCTGATGAATATGGTGTTCTAGCAGACATTGTCAACAGAGCATGTGAACGTTTCAAGTTACGCTCGTTGACGGATGACAAATTTAAATGCTTAATATTCATCAAAGCTCTTCAGTCACCACAAGATGCTGAGATCAGGACGAGACTTTTAGCTCGACTGGATCAAGACCCAAACGTCACACTCAGAACATTGACAGATGAGTGTAAGCGTCTACAAAGCATCAGACACGACAACGAATTGATTGAACAGGTAAATCCTAATTTAACCTGCGGTAGTGTAAATACTATTACTAGGTTAAAAGTTCAGAAGCCGGTAACAACTCGTAACAAACCAAGGACTGCATGCTGGTTATGCGGTGATTGGCATTATGCACGATTCTGTCCATTCAAGAAGCACAAATGTCAGGAGTGCAACAAACGTGGACATAAAGAAGGTCATTGTCCACCGAAGCGTACGTCTCAGCCTAAGAAGAAGCATAAACGTCCTCGACATGTGAAATCAGCCGAGTCTAAATCTCTTTCTCTGGTAGCTGCTTTTCAAACAAACTATGACATTCAGAGAAAGTATGTTACCATCCAGATAAACGGCATATCAGCTCGTCTTCAAATTGACACGGCATCAGATATCACGTTAGTGTCTAGAGAAACGTATAACTTGCTGGGTAAACCGCCAATGAAGCCATCTAAGAAAACGGCTAAAAACGCATCAGGTGGTGTGCTAAAACTGGTTGGTGAATTACAGTGTGAATTTTCCTTCAATGGAGCTAACTGTACAGGAATATGTTACCTAACAGAACGGCCAAACCTTGATCTTCTTGGTCTAGATATGTTAGACAAACTTAGAATAATGGATGTACCAATTAACAGTGTCTGTAACGTATCTCGTTCATCATTGGACACCCCAGTTCTTCCAAAGACAGGTGATAGGTTACTAGGAAAACCGAAAAGAAAGATACGTACACATTTCGATGTCATCCGTCCTACGCCAGCTATTGAACCCCAACGAAACCTATCGATGGAGAATCAGTTTAACCGACATCATGGGGCACAAAGACGATTGTTCACGGTGGGACAAAAAGTGCTTGCTATGGACTATCGTGGGAAACACCCTACATGGACAGCTGGTCGGATCTTGAAAAAGAAGGGGAGTGTGGTTTACGAGGTGTCAGTTGGCTCGGAAGTTTGGGTGCGTCATGCTAACCAATTGAAAGCAACCTCGATAGCCAGCAACAAGATTCAATATCGATTACCTCTTGATGTTCTGCTAGACACCTTTGAAATCAAAACGCCGGGAATAGACACATCAGTTTCTGTGCAAGAAAAGAGTGATACTTCTTTATTGCCTAGACGATGGACTAATCGAAAGCACAGGCCAGTCACTCGGTTGCAGTTGGACCCTAGCACCAGATCCTACGAATCTGCTCAGAGGGGAGGTGTTAGCGGGACACAGACTAGATTAAAGCATGCTCAATGCATGATTGTTTTGGTGCACGCTGATTGGCTGATTCTTATCCAATCAGCACTAGTCGATAGTCGGAGAATATTCTGGAATCTTCTTATGTAAAAACTATAAATATACCGATGTTTTCCCCTATTGTGCTTCCTACTGGCTTCTGACTTGCTATTTGGAATATAATCTTTTTCCTGTTCAACCGTGTTCTGATTTGGGGACTTGTCGAGTGAATCGGTGTCCGAGAATACTAAGCAATAGGAATAGCTGGGTCATTAACCGTAAGAAGAAACAGAGTTATAGCACAGTCGTAAAGCAATGAGGAATTAATAAACTTTTTTCCAGACCTTACTTTTAGCTTAAGTGTCAGTTAACTTGAGTATAAACATGTAAAAGCGGAAACTAAGAGATTTCTGATTAGTTTGAATGATAAATACGAACTTGGGTATCCGTGTGGTAAATTTTTTGCACTGTTGTAATGACATTAAAATATATACCGAAGGATAAAGACCGTTACTTGACATTTATAAATGGATAATTGCATACATCTAGTTGGATGAAGTAAAAAAATATACGAGATTTTCGAAACAATATCTAGACTAGACACTTATTTAGAAAGATTCCATTCTGTATGGCTAAAACTAATAATAAACATATTTAAAATGCATTTTACTTCTAGTCAACAGTGCAACTCCTTTCGCCAACGATAATGACTACATTTATACTCCGTAGATTTCAAAATCTAGAAAATTACCCTCAATTAATATTAAATATGAATAATAAGTGTGACTCGCAGCATGAAAATTCTATACAATTGTATACTTTATATGAGAGAAGACATAATGTTAACATACGACAGAGAAAACTAGTGACATATTTCTTCAAGTACAATGTATGAAATTGAGAGTCATCTTCTAAAGTGATCTCATAAGTTTTGTAAAGACAATACCAAATTAAATTAATGAGTTGCATTACAGATGTAGTAGTAAATCTAAATCATCATTATTACACGTTCCCATATAATTTTGGAATCCTGACCGAAAGTATCTTGAATCCAGTCCGGACTACTCTCTGGGCCTATGACCACACGACCCACATTATGAAAATCTGACGTATCAGATAATTTTTGTACCATTTTTTCAGAGATATCCTTTATTCTTGATGCGTCAACAGAGAAAACCTGGTTTCTGTGTGACTGTCTCAAATCATCACTGATCCCATTCAAAAAATGGGTTAGACCGCGGGAACCCGCTGAAACAGGATAGTCCAACTAAAAACAAAAAATCAATGGGAATAAAAATATAAACGAAAGAAAATTATAATTTACTAGTATTAACTCAATAGGATAGAATAAAACTTCAACATAATAGTAATAATAAAAACAATCATGAGGATTTACTAGGATTAATGCTTCGAGAAATGATAATAGTTCAAATGTCGATCAGATTTTGATCGACAGTCTTAAAACTTGTTGACAAATCATACGTCAACTTGGTAGGGAGAACATGACTGATTGGGCAGATTACCGTAAACACCCAAGAGGCCCTATGAATTAACCTTGTACATTTTCACTGTACTAGATTTATTGCATGTTAACAATACACCTTTTACAGAAGCTCTGCATGCCCAAATTTTTGTGATTTGATTAAAGAAATGTTAGAACATTCCCTATTTTCGGATAAGCCATTCTGGTATTTCATTACACGTAGATTAACTTCTCCACGACTAACTAGATGCATGAACTTTCGAACAATTACCAAGACTGTTTTCATGTTGCTATTCGCAGGAGAACTAAATCCCAGACCACAATTTGTCCAAGGAATAGAAGACGAACTTTATATCAAGGAGTACAAGAGTTTGTTGACCTAGATAATAAATCTGCTGGTGTTTAAGAATAAATGATCAAACACCAGACTGCTTTTCACGAGTTTTTCACAATTTGTGGACTATGAAAAAGGCCCACATTTGGGGTAGGATTAGAAGCAAAATAAAACAGGTTTCGTGTAGTCGAATATGATGGCTTCATTTTAGGGCAATCGAGCGCTTCTGTACGTCAAATCTGAAACAATGCAAGGTGTTTCCTGACTAAGAATTCACATCAGACATTGATAAATTTCAAGGGTAAGCAGCCTAGAATTGGCGATATTCAACTCTTCAGAAGCTGTAGTTTCTTACCAATCTTCATTTGATTTCGTGGATATAAATCTACCGGTAAAAGGGATAAGGAGGTTTTGATCAATGTTACTGAGGCAACAAATCGATTGAACCATTATCTAGTTCTCTCCAGAAGCCTATATATTTGCTGGACACCTTTCAACCAATCATTACCTACAGTAACTACTAAAAATCCTCAAATTGGCATCCATATAAATTTTTATAATATTTGGATGAACTAACAATTGAGTATTTATTCTATTTTAGTAGTAACGACATATATGAACTTTAGAATACAGCCTCATTTACAGTACTTCTTTTTTACTTGTTCAAATCTTAAATGAATAAGTATGCTAAAAGTTCAGAAGTTAAAGAAGTCCTATGCTTGATTAAAACCCAATCCTGAATGTGCAAAGCATGAAAGTTATGCAAAATATGATAACTGCCAACAATCTTACTTACTTCTTGGAAAACAGAAAGTTTAGCTTCTTTAATATCTTGATCTTGAAATTCTCTGGAGCTGGCCCATTTTATAGCATTTTCAAAACTACTTAGCGTTTTGAGAGGATAAGGATCACTTAACAAAATACAGTACACAAATTGATTTCTTAATAAGAACGATTACAAAATACATTTACCGTGAATAAAACTTAAAATACAAGTTAATTAAGACATTATATATAAGTATGGTAACCAAATCAAGCTAACAGTAGTACTTCTAAGGAATGAGTAACCACGAAATCAAAAAAACGTGACTATAGTCAGAAAAATGAAGTCTCATGCTAGCTCGCATAATAGATGCGTGAAGAAAAAAAGTTCTGCTTAAAGCGCCCGTCTGTTTGTCATCATGTTTTAACTAACATAAACTTACACACTAACATAGTAAATAAATTTGGTGAGACCATAATTTATGAATGACCTTTGAGCAACGCTAAAATGACTTTGAAAATGTCCACCTACTGACTAGGACTAAATGACGGTTATAAAGTAGTTTGAGGAATTACAATTACGATTTGCAGTTTATGTTAAGGGTTTTCATCAGGAACTGACATCAGACATAATGCCGAAATAGTATTTAGTCAAATAAGTGGATGAATTTCGCGCTAAAATCCGAGACCTGTTATCTTAAATCTAATTGGTTCGTCAATGAAATATAGTCTCGTCAACAAAACCGTTAGTATTGAGAACAATTGAATTCATGTATCTGTGCCACATAAAGAGAAGTTAGTTTATCCTACCAGAATATCTTATTCTCATAACGAAATTCCTAAACAGATGTTTCATTGAACGGATCTATCAAATTTAACCAGAATGATTTTCCGACAACTTTTTTGTCGATTCACCGAGAATTCCTGAAATCAACTGCTTCGAGTCCATCAGTGAGAAAATCCAAATCACTTCGTATTTTGGATTAATGAAACCGCAAAAAACTCCAGAGCAGTTCAGTAATTTACATAAAATGGGAAGAATAAAAATATTTAATGACCAACGAAATGCAGCTTACCGATAGGAGTAAAACAAGAAAGCTTCCGGTTTGGCAATAGCTCCCCCACCATAAGCACCACCTTTTTCCCTATAAAATTTAGTAAAAATTCAATCAATGGAAAAGGAAGAAAATAAACCGAAATATCTAAAATAAACTAGTTGGCATTACCATTACAATAAACAAAGGAAAATGATCTCAATTCGAAAGAATTGTCATATCACTTGATAACAAAAAGCTTTTCATGGGAAATTGCACAATTCGGAAGGAAAACCGCAAGAAATAAATTGGATTAGTAACCCAACGGTGCGACAGATAATTCACAGCAAAATTGGTAGTATAAAGTAAAAGCACACATCCATTCGGTGTCAGTGGATTACAGGTATGATCTGTTGGAACTAGGTCTGTAACTATGGAACCATCGTGGTGGGCAAAAATCGCTACCGTGACGACCCATTTGAGGTTGGAGCACTTGATCTATTAGGTCTTACTATCTCTAATCAGGTAAGTCGATTGGGTAGAGGCAAGACTAAGAGTAGGTACTGGGTCAAAGAACAAAGTCGTACTGCTAACTGTATAGAGATGCGGAAACAATAAGCTGTTTTCTTCAGATAACCAGCACTTGCAACGACGCCGCCTTTTCACAACGGAAGGAGAGAGTTGGAAAATGGTCAGTACCACAAAATAGCTAACTTGACACTTCTCTCCAAAGATTTAACACCGACTGATTCTGACAACCCTCAATATCAAATTTTTCGTTTCCTAACACTCATTCTATTCTTACTACAAACCTTTTTCGTATGGCTTCTTTTTACCTCAAGCTAAAAATTGAAGTGTTATCTCTGGTCTACTGAGATTGCGCTGCAAAATTCATGTTCGAGCTTTTAATGTTCAAACCTTATATCAATCCATACAATAGAGTTTATTAAGTAGGAATTCAGAACCTCATGTCACTGACATAAGCCGTGCCTCCGAAACTCATATGCAAGATCCAAGTGTAATAATTCACTTAATCGTACCTATTCCATATAGAGGACTAGGATGGTTTATGCTTAGTATTTTGGCCGACATGATGAATAATTACGTGGAGTCGCTGGCGTAGGCGAAGTTTACTTTGGTAAACAGTTACTTGTATAGTGTTCGACTAAACAGAACAGTAATAACTCGAAAGGATAAGGACGCACGCTCAGTTAGTCAGTCAGCTACAACGTAGGACCAGGCACATATATGCATCGGTCCAAGTTGCCATACCGCATTAGCACAGCAAGATGAACACCGGATTCATAGAAGTAGTTAATTCAATGGTGGTAATATATAAAACAAAAATTGCATATAAGGATATAGTACAGGAAGAAAGAATTAGCACGTAGAAAGATATGAAGCGATTTTATTCTCATAGTTTAAGGGAAGACAGAGAGTGTATACACCCACGCCATCGTGATCCGTTCTGAGCCACGCACGCTATTACATATTCACAGTCTGTTTCATATCCCACTAACTTCAAGTCAGATGAAAAGAAGCTACTCGATATATAAAAGAATTAAGTGTCTAGATGTAGAAATC